TGTGCTCTGCGGTTTTATTTTCTGTAGTATGAAAGTATATATTTCTAGCTGGTAAATTAAGTTCTCCTTTATTCTTCTTGTTCAGTTTTTGGGCCAACTGCTCTTCTACTGTTTTCTTTGTCATTGTGCATTTCAACTTAAAAAAAAATCCTTCATAGATTTAAACATGGTCTTGGGAAGAAGAGGGAACAGATGCTGTTGTCTGCCTGTAGTAGTGGCCCCCTCTCTCCCTACTGTCCCCTTTCTTTTTTAATGGTGATTTTACTCACCTGTGTCTTGTTTCCATTGTGATTTCTATTTTTTTGGTTCAAATCACATGGAAGTTTAATTCCATATATACGTTTCTGGAAGATAGATATAAATATAGATGATACAGATATACAGCTCCCTGTGAGGGAGCTTATATTCCGAGATCCCCAGTAGATGCCTGAAACCATTACGGTACAGAATCCTATATATACTGTTTTTGTCCTATGCATATTTGCACATACCTATGGTAAAATTTAATTTATAAACTAGGCACAGTAAGAGGTTACCAACAAAAATAAAATAGGAGAGTTACAACAATGTACTGTGATAAAAGTTATGTGGGTGTCGCCTTTCCCTCTCACAATATCCTCCTGGACTGCATGTGGTAGTCCTTTTCCTTGTGGACCCTGGGTAACCGAAACTATAGGAAATGAAACTGTGGAATGAGGGGACTACTGTGTATGCACACTTGGTGCCTATATACACATATATATTCTTATCTTTCAGCAATTATAACAATTAAATGAAAGCATAACTATATTATCCATATCCACTTTTTTCTTTTTAATTTATTTACTTGAGGGGCAGAGAGAGAGAGAGAGCTCCCCTCTATGGGTTCACTCTCCAAATGCCTATAATGGCTAGGACTGGACTGGATGGAAACTGGCAGGCAGGAACTCAATACAGGTTTCCCAAATAGGTGGCAGGAACTCAATTACTTGGCCATCACCTGCTACCTCTCAGGAAGCTGCAGTCGGGATCTGGAGTCAGATATTGAACCCAGGCGGTCTGATATGGGATACAGGTGTCTTAACTGTTAGGCCAAATGGCTGTTCCATGTTATTGATTATTTTTATCATGTGTTTTATTGGATTCATTCCTCACTACATTTTCTTATATAAGTATCTTCCTTCTTAAATTCATTGTTCTGGCTTATTTTTTTCCCTTAGCTAGAAGAGATCTTCAAGGAATCTTAAAACAGTACTTTTGGGGCCAGTGTTGTGGTGTAATGGGTTTAAACTGCCACCTGCAATACTCGCATCCCATATGGGCACTGGTTTGAGTCCTTGTTGCTCCACTTCTGATCCAGCTCCATGATAATGCACTTGGGAAAGCAGCGGAAGATGGCCCAAGTCCTTGGGCCTCTGTACCCAAGTGGGAAACCCAGATGAAGCTCCTGGTTCCCAGCTTCAGCCTGGCCCAGCCCTGGCCGTTGTGGCCAGTCAGGTAGTAAACCAGCTGATGGAAGATTCTCTCTCTTTAACAATGTCCTTCAAATATATAAAATAAATCTTAAAAAAATCTTTTTAAACATAAAGGGCATTTGAATGACATAATTACTTTGCCCTTGACCATCTCTGTTTTGTCATTGCATAAGGGAGAGATTACAGTTTGGCAGCTGCTAAGATTCCATTAAAATTCTTGAACACCAGTGCCAGTGTCTTTGAGCACCAGTGTTGCAGATGAGAAGAGTGAGGGCAGTCTGATTTTCTTTCCTTTTAGAATCTTGATTTCTCTCCCTTACTAGGAAGTCTAATTGTTTGTCTTCCTTCTAGAAGCACGCGTTTTCTCAGTCATCCAGCTGCCCGGCAAGGGAGATCATCTAAGGTCTAGAGTTGATCTCGCGCTCTGGAAAATTCTCTATCACTTTCCTGATTATTAAGTTTCCCCTTCACTATGGATGCTGTCTCCACCTGGAACACTTGCTAGACTAATGCTGGGCTAGTCCTGGATACTGGAATCTCTGTTACCCTATGTTTTATCTGATTATTTAAATCTCCTTTTCTTCCATTTGTATGTGAACTTTTACAAAGTATCACTTATTATTGTTTTTTCAATGAGGCATTCCAGATGGAGCTGGAAACCCCTGCCTTCTAGTCACATTAAGAACAAACCGCCCATTTTCCAAACAAGTGGTGGAATGACCTTTAATTTACCTCTAGACTGATACACATGACCTTGGTCCCATCCTGATCATGTGAGCTTGGGGTTTTCCAGGGCCCCTTTCTGGAAGCGTATGCACTTACTTCTTAGGGGGTCTGTGCAGAATCATTGTCTTAGGGGCACTAATCAGCTTTTCCCCACCCATGCCCCGTCCACTTTGTGTCTCTGTAGTCTTCAAAATATCTGCCTTATCAGTGGCATCTTTCTTTGGTTCCAGCGTTGTCACTGATGTTTTGGTCGTGAAAATGGTTTTTAGAGGAGAAATGAAAGAGAGTAAATGTACAAGCCCACCTAAGTATTCTCCAAACTCCAAACTGAAAGCCCCAGCGTGGAAACAGTGAGGGAATTGACGTGTCAGTGGATGGCTGGACCCAGATGGCCTTCCAGCCCCATCTGACTCTGGGAGGCTTTTCTTTAAAGTCTAATGAGAAGTGTCTTTTATAAATAAGGCCAGAGAGTGAGGGCTTAGTTGAGTTAGAAAAACAGAATGAGGTGAGACGTCAATGGTGAGTCATGTTGAACCTGCGGAAGACACAGCAGGTGCAAGTGATTTAACACATCCAAAGTTGTGTGGCAGCAAAACACACTGCAGAGCCTTCTTCCAGAGGGCTAAGAGCTCTTCTCTTTGACGCTGAGAGGGTGGACCCAAGTCACCCTGGACTCCCTGACAGCCTGGCAGTGCTGATTCTACCATGGTGCATGAGATTTCAGAAGCTCAGCAGCTGAACCCCCATGGGTGGGGTGTTCTTGTGTTCACCCTGCCTGCCTCCCTCCCTTTCTGTTTTTAATGGGAAGAGAGACTGCTTTTCTCAGGAACGTTTTCTCCAGATGTATGAGCCTGAATGGAGACCTGTACAGTTCTTCCCAAACACGCTGGACAGAATGGGGATGTCAGCAGCTCCCTCCCTGTGATCAGTTGCTGAGATGCCCTCCAGCTCCCCACCAAGTCCCCTGCCCCAGCACTGAGGGTGGGGGTGGGGGTGGGGATGGGGGTGTGGGCAGAGCTAGAGGGCAGTGACAGGCTCCCTGTGGCACATCTGCTTGCCTTGTCACCAAGCCTCCTGGGCTCAGGTCTGTGGTGGCTTTAGGAGAGCCAGCTCCACACTGTGTGGCTGGTGACATTTCCAGCTGCCAGTGCCTAGCCAATCAGTGACAAGTCTAGCTAGCTGGGGCAATGACACATGAAATATGAGAATTTTCTGCTAAAGAGCCCTGGGAGGGGGGAGGAAGGGAGTGTGTGTGGCTTCGAGGTGGCCTGTGAAGATGTGAGGAGGTGAGGGAGGCAGTGCAGTAGCTTCAGGGGTTTGCCTGGCAGCACTAGGCAAGGGAAGCAGGGGGCACTGAGGCCCAGGGAGTGACCATAGGGACAACCTGGTGGCCTGAGGTAAGCCCTGTCTGGTGGTGGTGCTGCTGCTACCTGGCAGGGGCGGGAAGAAGTAGACAGCACCATTCTGAAGCTTTGAGCTGGAAAAGAAATTGCAAAAGGCATTTGCCTGCCTCTCAAACATGAGTACAGTCAGGAGTTTTGTTTCTTTTCAGTGCTACCTCTTTAGAAGTCAAAACAAAACTGGATTAACACCAGCTGAGTGGCAGAAGTGGTTGGCAAATCAATTTTTTTTTTTTAATTTAGGCTGGGGGCTATTTATCCCCTACCCTGTTTTTCTACTTCCATGCTCAACCTCGCCTTTAAAAACACATAAAAAGCAAAACTAACAACCACAGAAACTCATGAACAAAACCCTGAAGAAGGGCCCAAGTCTGAATCTCAAAACTTTATGGTTCAAGTGGTAGTTTTGATTCCAGATTCTGGTAGGAAGACATGATGTCTTGGAACAGGATCTGGTCCTTTTCAGAAGTATGCCAGATCCATTTTCTGGGTGAGCACAGACCCTGAACTGCAGGGCAGGGTGAGGAGCATCCTGTAGTGAGCTCTGGGTGGCACACGCCCCTGCTTCCTTCAGCTGCTGTTGCAGGCTTCCTGGCTCTTTATCAGCAGGTGGGGGCTGGCGGGGATGACACCCATACTGACGAGAGTCCTGCATGGTCCGACCCCTGAACATGTGTGTTTGGAAGCCGAGGATCACTGTGTTTACATAACATGCCGATTCATCACTGGGAAGCTCTTCACTGCAGTAAATATGCATGCTTGGTTTAATGCTTTCTGCTTGCTTTTCTCTTTCTCCATATATATATACGTATATATATACATATACATACACACACACATATATATAGTCTATGTGTGTGTGTATATATATATATATAATACACATATCTGCAATGTTTTAGAGGAACCAATAAATGTGCGGCTTTGGGCAAGGGGCTGGCTGCCTGAGCTGGGGGTGACAGCTCTCCAAAAGTGATAATTGGTGTACTGTGTCTTTAAAAGGTTAAAACCCCTTTTCAAAAAGGGTCCGGACTCCTAGTGGAAAAGACAAGGAGGCATGGGTTGGCTCCGGATTCGGAAAACAGCTGCTGATTAGATTCTGTGTCTGCGGGCGGAATTTATTCCGTGTTTTTCAGCAGCAGGAATTCAAGAGGGATGCTTCTGTTTGGGTTTCTGATCGTGATTTATATTTATTCAGAGGAATAACAGAGGTGGATCTGTTCCCGGCGCGAGCATGCTCACAACCAGCCGACGCTCCCATTATCCAACTGCCTAGTTCGGTGCTTCCACGTCCATGGCTAGTCCGTGTGCATCTGTGTGTACACAAATACGCATGCATGCCTGGATGGACACACGTATACACGGGTTATTTTTTAAGGACAGTCCTCTCAATAAGGTCTTTACCCCTTACTCGAAACAGGTGTTCACGAACAAAATGCACAAAATCCCGACTGACCGGAATAACTCATGAAGAAGGGGCTGGATCCGTGGGTCAGAGAACACAGGACCAGTGTGCCACCCCAAGGCCGAAGGTAGGGGACTCTGGGTTTCTATTCGGCGGCGGATGGATGCCTCGTGCTTGGTTTTACCGCTTGTGTTTTTGCCCGCGGCTGCCACTGGGAAGTGGAAGGACAAGCTGCGATTCCATTTTGTCGCTGCATTTCTTAGGTCAGGTGTCCGGAGGCCGCGGGCAGGGGCCGGCCGGGTGGGCGGCTAGGGCGCTCGGTGGGCTGAGCGCGCGGCCCAGCCTGGTGCTGGGGGAGCGGCGTGAGCCTTGAGTGACCCCTGCGTGTCAATCAGCAGCAGCAGCAGCAGCGGCGGCGGCGGCGGCGGCAGCAGCAGCGAGGCTGTAACCCTGTGCGCGCCGCGCGCCCCTGCGCTCCTCTGTGCTCGCTCCTGCGCTCTCTCGTGCTCACTAGCTGACCGGCGGGGCTGGGTTTGGCAGCGGTGGCAGCAATAGCCGCTCTCTGGCCACTGGGCTCCAGAGCTCCCGAGACGCGGGGGGCAGAGGTGTGTGTCCCCTGCAGCACCTGCCTCGGCTCCTGTTGCCCTGGCTGCTGCTCCTGGATGGTTCTGGCCGGGTCGAGGGGTCTGCGTGGCCTGCTTGGTTGAGAATGGGATTCAGAGGATGCTGGGTGCTAAGGCAGAAGGGAGAGCTCTCTGTTTCCACTGCATCCGGGGACCCTTAATACGTTCCTAAAGCAAAACCTACCCCCCAGCCCTAATGCAACACAAACTCCAATTCTGTTGGGGCTTTTTACCTGGCTGCTAACAGGGAGGGTAACCACCCCCTTCCAGGTTCTGCCCCACACTTTACTGTATTTTAAAACGGAAACGCTGATAGTGCCCACAGCCCCTGATGAGGCTGTCCAGGCTGCCCGAGGACTTGTGTGTGGTGGACAAGCCCAACCTGGGTGGGTTGCACAGAAGGGCCGTGTAGAGGGACTCTGATTTCCTCTGAGGTGGTTAGCTTGGTTTACCTTGCTGATCAGGGCTACTGTGGCTTGGTCCTGTCTTGAACTTTGGGGACAGTGGTGGCAGGCAGAGGGTCTGCAGGTCTGGTCAGTAGCCCTTGGCTGTGCAGGTGGAGTACCATGTGCCCAACAGGCACATCTGCTGCTTGGGCTAGTACGGCTTATGTTTGTGGTGGAGGGGCATGAAGTGCAAGCTGAATGAATGTTGGTGGAATCGTTGGCCTGATCATGTTTGTGTGGTTATGTAACACCACTAACCATCCATCAGCCCCTGGCCCAGCAACAGCTTGCTCTGCTACCATTGTTTAAGATGTTTTTCTGTAATCATGTGTGTGCTGGGTGCAGGAGACAGTGAGGACAGGGAGGAACAATTGGACACCTTGGGTGTTGTTCAGATTCAAGGGCCAAGATTGTGTGTCCCACTGAGGCTAGCAGTGGATCTGAAGACCCTGTACCTCTCTCTCAGCAGTGATTGCTTGTCTGAACTTGTATTTGGTGATCTGGTTCCTCTGGGAACTTAGAGAAGGTTAGAATCCCCTTTGCAGGGTCTTCCAGTTTCCTAGCTGAATGCAGAAAATGAATCCCAAGTCCAGGGGGGCTGCCCGGGTCCCAGCTGTTCTCTTGCTTCCTGCCCAGTGGCCAGGGTGAAGTCCCTGTCCCACCAGGGTGTCAGTATTGCTCTGGGCTCAGGCTCTCCTGTGGGACTGAAGAGCAGACTGAGATGCTGGCCGAGCTTTTGACATCTGCTCTTTAAAGCTGTGAAGACTTGCACAGGCCAGTAGCTCTATACATCCTTGGATTAAAAAACCTGTGTGTGGTTTTTTATTTTTTCATTTTTGCAAGGAATGAGACCAGCTGTCCCACTGAGATGGCAGGCAGGAGGAGAGGCAATGTGTGATTACTCTGTTTGTCCTTCCTCCCCACTCTGTCTAGTTAAGGCTCCCACAGGACACCAAATTGCTAACACCAGGCCACCTGTCACACCCTTAGTGTCTCAGCCTAGGTTGTTGTTGACTTGGTGACAAAGTCCGGCCCCTCAGGGCTGCTGTCTTTTAGCCCTGAATATCCCGGTGCATTTGTTTTAAGGGCTCACTACTAAAGCGTACTCTGTGGAGGTGGATCAAGACGTGCTCGGCTGACTGGTACTATTGTGGCGCTGTCTCTGCCCATTGTGTCTCAGCGGCAGCTGCCCTCTGGAGTGGAAGAGTGTGTGCTGCCTAGGAATCCTTGCCAAGTGAGCTATCGAAGCATTTAGTGTATGAAAGGGACAGGCGAGGAGAAGATGCATTTAGTCTGAAGTCCTGGCAGGTTCCAGGACCTGACTTGATGGAAGATAACGTTAAGAAAGCTGTGTGACAACTGGATAGCTTTCAACTTGTCTCTCACTTCCTGCACTCTGAGTTCTCTGGTGTCTTTCAAATTCTTTTCCACCTTCCATGCTGCCTATCAAGGAGGCCCTGAAAAGGCTGCTGTTCCTTGCCCTTCCTGGGGAGTCACAACATATTAACAAATCTGCGTTTGTACTGGGCAGGCAGAACGTGGAAAAGGGGCTGTAGGAATGGGCAGCAGTGGCATTCCAGGCCAGACTTGGCCAAAACCTTGACCGGGTTTTACTCTTCATTGATAGAGTGCAAGATCTTGAGAAGACAATGAGATAGGTTCAAAAGTCACATGTGCTCTATAGCTGTTGTGTGTAAGGAGACAGCCACTTTAGTGTAAAACCAACACTTAAACAATTTCATTTAGGATGTTGAGATCTAAATGGGAAACCAACAGAGGCCCAAGGGCCATGAGCTATATTCATCACTGGAGGGGTTTCAGAGCCTCTTTTCAGGACTTCACATTTACCTAGAATTCTAAGAGGCTTGGTTGTTACTTAGCCAAATGCACTTTGCAAATTGGAAGAGATCAACAAAGTGCTCTAAAGGGTTCTGTACGTTCTTTTATTAAGCATCAGTAAGAAGTAATAGTAATGTGAAAAAGAGGAAAACCAAATAAAATTAAGATAAAATTTAAAAGGCATAAGAATTCAGAGCATGGGATTCCAAAACTATTTAATGTAGCTATTCAGTGTAAGCAGTTCAGTGAAATATCATATATTTTGATGGGTCTTGAGGACTCTGTTTTGTAACCTGGTACCCAATGCTTATGATGACACATGTATATCAGAACAGTTTAAAAACAAAAGGCAGAGGATGTTTAAAATACACTAAGGAGATATAATAAACATGGTTAACAAAGATGAACCAAAAAATATATACGGAAAATATAAAATCCAAGTGAGATCTGTAGACTAGTTAAGTATATTGTCCCAAGAGTAATGTCCTGGTTTTGATAATGCACTAGAGTAATATAAGATGCCACTATTTGGGGAGGCTGGGAAATGGGTACATGGGACCTCTCTGTACTACTGTTGTAACTTCTTGTGAATCTATAAATAACTTAAAATAAATGTTTTAATTTAAAAGACCAGTTTAAATGACATATGTGTATCCAATTTAAGAAGGCCTGCAAGTGTCATCCCAAATTTAACATAATGTTTAGAGGAAAAGCCACAGCTGCCAGGATGGCAGAACCCTCATTGTTTCTGAACAACCATGGAAGAATAAAATTAAAAAGTAAGTTTATCTTGGTGCAAAAAAGAATGAACTCTGCAAACTATTTTCCTAATACCTGTTTTCCATGGACTGTTTAAAGACCCCCTTGTACAGATCAAAACTATAATACAACTGTAATGCCCTCATGTCGAAATGAATGGGGAACTTTCTCATCTTTGCTGAAATTTAGCAAGGCCTCATTATGCTGTTATTAATAGCAGTTATGTTCTAGCAGTTACTGCTACTGAAAATACTAAGAAGGGAGCATGTGATGCTCAGCCTGTCCTGTGTGACTAGGGGACATGTGCTCCAACTTGATGACTTTAACACTGGGGTTGGAAGAGGCCTGATGGTAGAGAAGACCAAATAGGAGAGGTGGGTCCTAGTGGCATAGGGAATATGGACTTACCATTACCACTGTGTTGTTCTGTCCAAAAAAACGAATTCAAGATGTTCTGACCACATCTTCTTGCTAGGAGGTGGTATTTTCTCAGTTCAGTCATTGTGCTTGACCGTGAGAGAACGTCTGAGTTACATGAGCAATGCTCAACTTGGCTTGACCCTTTGCCGGTTTGCTCGGTTACAATTTGCTCTCAAACAAAGGCAATGGGGAACACAAAAGTAGAGGAAAATGAAGACTGACGCTTTTGAAAGACTATTTTAAAAAAATTCAATACATATGTGGAAAATGTGAAGACCTAATTAAAAGTAACAGAACAGTAATGCTTGGTTTCTACATGCATGCAACTTCATTGTTTGGGGAACATATTTGAAGAAATTCTTAAACTTGCTAAGAGAAACTGTCTATAACAGGTCATTGCATCTAATCAGAAGCAAGTCATTGCTCCTAGTTGGAAATAACTCAGAACTTTCCAAAGATTCCACATATATAAGCAAGGGGGTAGTGTGGTATGTTGTAATAAGTTGGGAGCTTGGAGGGCAGAGGAGGTGGAGGTTAGCCATGGGAAGTGACTGAGCACTCTCTAGAGAGCTGCCCTGTTGAGTGTCAGAGCTGAAACATGTGCTTGGGAGGCAAGATGGTGAGGGTGGGTTGTTCTGATGAGAACCATGAGTGCACGAGTGACTCCTCTCCTCATTCCCATGCATTATGAAATGGCAGGTGCAGCTGGCATCTGGGGGCAGGGAAAGAAGGGGGGAGCTTTACTGTACATCTAGATGCACAGTTGGGATGGTCTGAGAATGTGCCAGGATTTAGAGAGCAATGCCATGGAGTAGCATAAGGAAGTTAGATTTAAGAATTTTAGGACCTCTCGGAATATCTTTGAATCCTTGAAGCAGGGTTTAGGATCAGTTTTAGAAAAATGAGTCATGTGGCCGGCGCCATGGCTCAATAGGCTAATCCTCCGCCTAGCAGCGCCAGCACACCAGGTTCTAGTCCCGGTCGGGGCGCTGGATTCTGTCCCGGTTGCCCCTTCCAGGCCAGCTCTCTGCTGTGGCCCG